TAGAGATTATTGCTGGGGAGCGATGATTATCTGGACCAGTGGCGTGGAGGTAAAAGAATTTACCAAGAGAGTTGTAGATAAAGAAAGGCAGATTTATTAGAGAAAGTATGAAAATACATTGCAAGAAAGCAATGAGCAAATTAGCAGAAGAGAAGCTGACTGCCAGGAGACAAAGGCTTACTGGAGATTTTATAGGATGGTTTTGGGCTGCAGAGTGCTACTTGCAGTACTGCTAACGCCAAGGTTGCAGGGAGCTAACCTGCATTTTTTGTATTAGCCAAAGGTCTGGTGATAGCTGGGCACAGGAAGATTATGAGTTATTTGCACAGGAGGGTTGTATGTCCTGGACCTTGAAGAAAGGCAGACTTATAGCTTATTTGCCTTTTTTTGTTGCTTTTCCCTGCTCCCACCAGTCTTTTTCTTTAATTGAGACTCCACAGTGATCAGTGATTTCAGGTACCAACAGTAGAGTTAGATTCTTGAGTTAAGGTCCAGGCTCTGCCACTTGGTATTTGTGTGACCTTGGGCAAGTTCCTTGACTTTTTACTAAGCCCAATTTCCTTGACTATAAGTAGGGTTAGTAACAGGATAGCCCTCTGATATGCTTTGGCTGTGTCCCCACCCAAATCTCATCTGGTAGCTCCCATAATTCCCATGTGTTGTGGGAGGGACGCAGTGGGAGATGGTTGAATCATGGGGGCGATTTTTCTGGTGCCATTCTCGTGATAGTGAATGGGTCTCACGAGAGCTGATGGTTTTTAAAACAGGAGTTTCTCTGCACAAGCTCTCTTCTCTAGTCTGCCACCATGTGAGATGTGCCTTTCATTTTCCACCATGACTGTGAGGCCTCCCCAGCCACATGGAACTGTAAATCCAATAAATCTTTTTCTTTTGTAAATTGCCCAGTCTTGGATATGTCTTTATCGGCAGCATGAAAACAGACTAATACACCTTCCAACATTAAAAGAAAATTCTAAATAAAATGATGTGGGCAAAGCATTTGATGCAAAGTAAGTCCTCCATAGATTTTAACTATGTTATGGTTACACTAATTATCACTGTTAGGTTGTCTGATCATTCATAACCTTTCCTATTCTGGACAGGCTCCTTGGTTTTTTATCCTTATTTCCCAAGCTGAATGCAGGCAGATCTCTGATTTCACACCAAATATATTCATCTTCTAGCCTTGTATGTGTGGTGATCAGGTTGGGTATTTATTCTCCTAGAGGTCAGAAAACATAAAATTCTACCTGCAGTATGAAAACCCAAATTTGGTATGGGAAATGAAGCTTAAATTTATCAGAGATTAATAGATGAAAGGGTAAATTGTTTAAAAGGCGAATGTTAGAAGTTGAGAACTGTCTTTCTCTGGAGTGAACATCTGCTTAGTAGATTGACATGCTTGTGAAACCACTGAAGTATCAGCTACTTCCTTTTTAGAGATAGGATCTTGCTCTATGTGTGCCACCATGCCTGGCTAATTTTTATTTTAGAGATGAAATAAACTCACTATGTTGACTGGGCTAGTCTCACATTCCTGACCTCGAGTCATCCTTCTGCCTCAGCCACTCAAGTAGCTGGAATTACAGGTCTAAGCCACTGCATCCAGGCTAGTACTAGTACTAGGTTTACCGGGAATTTTTCTAGTGATTCTGGGAAACCTACATCTTTGTGCTTTTATTTTTTCAGTGTGACAGAGACAGTTACTGGCTCCAATATTTATTTATTTTTTATTTTTTTAAGACAATGCTGATTTTTCAGCTGGATCTACAGCTACTCAGAATAAAGACTACATTTCCCAGGCTCCCTTGCAGCTAGATGTGGTCATGTGACTAAGTTCTGGCCCAAGAGCTGTGAAGAGAAAAGATATAGCCTTCTTGAAAGGGAAGATATGCTCTCCTTCCTTTCCTTATTCTATCAGCTGGGATTCAGATGCTGTGGTGAGCTACACGGACCATGCAGATGGGGATAACACTCTAAGAAAAGTGGAAGGACCTTGGAGTTGTGATGCTACAGAGCATCCATGTTATATGAGAGAAAAATAAACTTCTATTTTGTTTAAGTTATGGTCATTCAGTCTCCTTTACTGCAATGGTATTTATATCCTAAATAACACAGGCAGGAATGAGGTTGGCAGCAGAAGTGCTTCTGCTGCCCAAATCTTCTTCCTTGTGGTTGAGTCCTGGAAAAATGCTGACTTATTTATGTATGTGTGTGTGTGTATGTGTGTGTTGTTTTTCTCTGTGTGTAGGAATTCATTCATTTATTATATCCAGTATTTATATTGAGTGCCAGGCACCTTATCTGCCACACACAAGTCTATGTATGTCTGCATGTCAATTTTAATTCCTGCTTTTAATGAACATACTCTCTAGAATCTGAAAATCTAGAGTATAAGAAGCACTGTATGGCCAAGTGAACAAGATAATGGATACCAGAAAAATGTTAGAAAATGTCATGTCCACCATTTTTCTTCTTAATCCATGAGTAACCCATGAAAGTAAAAAGATGGTCTCCAGAAAGACAAAAGATGTAAGTTGACTTCATTCCATTTTCTCCAGTGTATACAGAATGCCCTCCAACCAGGCTGGCATGGCAGGGTTCAAGGACCTCCTTTGGTTCTGTGTCAGGTTGCCCCCTCTGTTGTCTTCGGCTCTGTGAAGGCATCCCCACCCCCTCCCATGTGATGTCCATGCTCCGGAGACCTCTGTCATTTGTAAGCCTGGTTTCCCCTCAACCCTGTGTGAGGCAGGCAGCCAGTATCACTGCCCTAGTTTCACGGACAGAGCAACCGAGTCATTTTTCTATTGTTACTGGACAAAGGTACCGAGTAAGTCATTCTAAAGTCCTAGAATCAGATCCTAATTCTTGTTCCTGGCATCATTCATGGACCTGAATTCCACCAAAGGTTCAAGAGGATACTGGCCCCTGACCAGCTCAGAGAAGAATGTATCTGCTTGTGACTGAGTCAAAAATAAGGATTAACTCTGTCTTGACACTTGCAGGCTTGAAAAAGAAAGCGGGGGAAAATGTGCATGAGTAACATCATCATCTCATTATACCGGGATTCTCAACCTCTCTCAAAACGTTTTGAGAATTCCCTGGTACATGATTTCCTTAGTACTAAATTTTTAAATTAAAAAAATATCTTATTTGCCATTGAAGCAATCAATTTTCTCCATCTTACAACAGAATCATTTATGTGACTTTAGATCCGAGAGGAAACTAAATTTATTTCCCTTCTTTTTGCAAGAGAATCTTTGAAGTATCTAGCAGAGAAAAAAAAATGAGCTTGCTCATGTAATAAAATTAGAAACACAAACCATTCCAAACACAAGCTGTTCATATTTAGTAGGATGATGCTTTTTATGTAGCATTTTCTGAATAGCTTCGAATTTCCTAAATTTTTCCCTTTCCTTGTGTTTTTCTTTGTCTCACATGTCACCCTATTTATTCATTCCCTCACCGACCTTCCCAGCTAAGGAGGAGAGAGGCACAAGGTATATCTGCAGAAGTAACCATGGATTTAAAAGTAGCTACAACATCAATTTAAAGGCAAGTTACAGCTTTTGTACATTAAACTTGGTGACTTTATCCTTTGCTTCATAGCTGTGGGAGAAGGGAAAGTTTTGGAAAGCAGAAATAGGAGTTCTTACTGGGAATCCAGAAACTCTTAAGATTATCTTTCTTAACGAGCTACCGAAATGACCCCTGAAAGCATAGTCTTAGTTGTGTTTTCTTTCTTTCTTTCTTCCTTCCTTTCTTTCTTTCTCTCTCTTTCTTTCTTTCTTTCTTTCTTTCTTTCTTTCTTTCTTTCTTTCTTTCTTTCTTTCTTTCTTTCTTTCTTTCTTTCTTTCTTTCTTTCTTTCTCTTCCTTCCTTCCTTCCTTCCTTCCTTCCTTCCTTCCTTCCTTCCTTCCTTCCTTCCTTCCTTCCTTCCTTCCTTCCTTCCCTTCCTTCCTCCCTCCCTTCCTTCCCTTCCTTCCCTTCCTTCCTCTTTTCTTTTCTTTTCTTTTTTTCATCACCTGCACCAGCCCTTCAGTTCCTACCTGGGGCCCTCTGAGTCAAGATCCTCAAAGATGGGTCCTAGGAATCTGCATTTTTAACAACTTCCCAGGCTGGGCGCAGTGGCTCACGCCTGTAATCCCAGCACTTTGGGAGGCCAAGGCAGGCGGATCACGAGGTCAGGAGATCGAGACCATCCTGGCTAACACGGTGAAACCCTGTCTCTACTGAAAAGTACAAAAAAAAGAAAAAAAAATCCCAGAAGGTTCTCATATCTACTAAAAGCTCGAGTTCCTGCTCTGAAGGGGCTTCGTGGATGGGTCTTCAGGGACTCTGTGAAGTCCCTCAATGTGTTTATAAAGTGTATGTGTGTATATATATATGTGCATTTTTCTGAAGTAAATTTTCAAAGGAGTCTAAGACCCCAGAAAAGGTTAAGGCCCAGTGCATAATGACCAATAAATGGAGAGAAAAACTGTCCAAATCTCACATATTAATGAAAAGAAGAATGCAAGTTAAAACAAGATTATTACTTTGCACTCACAAACTTTTGAAAAAATCAGTGGTGGTTGGCAAAGACAGAAAAATAAGAATTCTCATACACTGCTGAAGGTACAGACATTTTGGGGAACAATTTGACAATAGCTAGCAAAATCTAAAATACATTCTCCTTACAGCCCAGCAAGTCCACTTTTAAGCAAATACCAACTCTTGAACATATGAACTTGGCATGTTTAAGGATATTCTTTGCGATACTGCTTATAATTAATTGGAAAAAATTGGAAACAACCTAAATATGTACCTTAGGGGCAGAAAGAAGGTGACCCCTTTCCTCCCTGTCATAAGGGTCATGGCTGACACCCCTATAACAAAGACAAGCTAACAGGAGAAAAGCATAACACATTTATTTGATCACAGTTTTATGAGACATGAGAGCCTTCAGAATGGAGACCAAAGAGCCAGGAAAAATTGATCCCTTTTTTTATGCTTAGGTTCAATGAAGAATGGACAGCCATGTAGAACTACGACTGGGGGAAACAGGGATAATCTGATGGAAATAGACTGAGTCGGGAAACCTACCAAGCCTTGTCAGCTCAGCTTCTTCTTGGCCTCTCTGTGCAGCATTTCTTTCTCCCAGGTATGGAATGGGAACCCTCTGGGATGAGGGTCTTAATTTCTTTATGGCCAGCTCTTACTCAGAAAGGCAGGGGAAGATTACCGTAATATTTTTAGATTTTATGACTGGCTTTGGGTAAAAGCTGTTTTGGTTTCTATGACCTGCCTTGGGGAAGAGGAATTATGGTTTTCTATGGCTTGCCTTAGGGGAGAATGAGGGGCAAGAGACACCAGGGCAGGAGAAGGTCAGATAGAGACTTTGCTTCAGAGGCCTTCACTCTGGGGTGTCTTTTTCGAAGTCCCAACACATCAAGAGAGGAATGGGATAAATAAAATGTCATATGATCAATGTTAGCTTATTATAATTACAAGGAATGATGTAAATCCATTTATTAATAATATTGAAAATAATAGGCTGGGTGTGGTGGCTCACACCTGTAATCCCAGCACTTTGGGAGGCTAAAGCAAGCAGATTGCTTGAGCCCAGGAGTTTGAGACCAGCCTGTGCAACATGGTGATAGCCCATCACTACAAAAAATACAAAAATTAGCTGGGCATGGGATGCATGCCTGTAGTTAGTCCCAGCTACTCAGGAGGCTGAGGTTGGAAAATCACTTGATCCCAGGAGGTTGAGGCTGTAGTAAGCTGTGATCATGCCACTGCACTCAGCCTGGGTGACAGAATGAGATGCTGCCTCAAAATAACAATAATACTGAAAATAATAGTAGCTAAGACTTATATGGTGCTTACTGGCACTGTTCTAAAAGCTTTTCATATGTTAACAAAACTGAATCTTAAAACATAATTGTGAGTGAAAAAAGCATAGAATAAAATGATACAACACTATGATTATTTTTATGTTTAAAAGCACAAAGTAATACTTACATAGGTTATTGAGATATATACAGAGAGAGTAAAAGTAGAAAACATGGATTTCACAAATATACACAAAATTCTAAGGGTAGTCTAGGGCGGCACTAACACGGATTTATAAGAATGGGGACATTTCAGTCTCCTTCAGCTGTATCAGATATATGTCATTTGCAAAAGATCTATAATTAACAAACACTTACATGATATTCACAAAACCAGTTGGCAAGGTAAGATGTTATAAAATGTGAGTGCTCAGTGGCAGGGCAGGGCAAGACAGACAGAAGGGAACAGAAGAGGAGGCCATGCAGCTGTAGGGCTGTTAAGGCAGAAATATTTTGTGGAGCACAAGCAAGACTTAAACACAGATGGAGGGTTGGCAGGAATCGCACTGCCTGAGAGGCGCTAGAGATACGACCCCTAGAGGAAGAATGTCATCTTGGGGGCACCACGAATGGAGAGTCAAAGGTGGACCCACACAAGGAAGCGAAAAGACATTGGCATTTTCTATTAGGACATCTGGAAGTCTCTTTTGGTAAGTTATTTAATTATAAATAACAGAGGAAGTGACCAGCTGAATTGCACTTCTGACAAGCAACAGGAATTATATAGTGAAGTGCAAGTTACCAAACCTTTGAGAGAAGGCCATGATGTCTTCGAAGCATTCACAATATCCAGGGAATTAAGGGCTCAGTGTTGTTAGGTGTGCGCCTTAAATGTCAGGGTGGGAAAACTGAGAAAACTCAAAATATGCAATTTTGATTTAACCAAAGCAAATGTCTTCTCCTTCTCTCCAAAAAAGAAAGAAAGGGTTGGAGGAAAAATAGTTATGGCTACTCCAGGAATTCTCCCTGCAATCAGATGTCAAATTTCGAACTTTCTCTCTCTCTCCTGCTTCTCTGTCCTCTTTGCCTACAGGATTAGTTGTGACTTACGAGGATCTCCACATTTGGTCCTAGCACCCTTCCAGTCCACCCAACACCCTACCCATATGGACTCTTCATCCTTCATTTCCATGATGCCCACCTTTGCACATCCTGCTTCCTTTGCTTGGAATGACTTCTTTCTGACCCTGCTTTGCTTGGGAAAGCTCAATCTTCCTTGAAGAACCAGCTCAAAGGTCTTCAGTTAAGCTTTTCCTGAAAGAGGGGCAGCATAGCCATTTACACACCCAGTTATTCACCATACAAACACTGATTGAAGGCTACCAATGCCCTCCAGCAAAAGACCACCAGGAACACACTGATAATCAAACAAGCTGAGCTTATTACTCATTGATCAAGGGAGAACATACTTGAAGGACACTACCTTAGCAACTGTGTTAGAAAGAAACTACTAGAAGATTTGGATTTTGGTCGGGTGATTTGTGGAAGGCTTAAGAAATTAAGGATTTGCTCTAGGTCGGATACCATCAGAAATCCAGGCAATTGTACGATTGAGTGCATTACAGAGGGCAGAGTGACCTTGTTTTTGTGTATGGACAAAATTATGTAGTGACCTTGTTTTGTTTCATTTTATCATGGTTCAGAATAAGCTTGTCTGAGGTTGGTGTTCTGTGAGATTGTCTATGTCCAATAGGGGAACAATGGCCTGGCTGTGAGTGTTAGATCAGCTTGTAATAATATTGAGGTCTACTGGTGATTATTTCTGGATGTCAGGGCCTGCTTTTTTCTTTCTCTATGCCTATAATGCCTCAGCCATTGGACTGTGATATTGTTCGTATGTCTTTTACATCACCTAGCATGCCTTATGATGTAGCAGACAGTGCGGTTAGGTCTCAAGATACATCCCAACCCTCTCCCACCGTGGGGCAGCCATGGGATGTGGGTGGGACTGATTCCACTCCCAGCTCCAAGATGGTCCCTGATTTGTCTAGAACATCTGGTGACTTGTTTAGAGATAGGCGTTGAATATTCAGTTTTATGGAAACAGACACTGAGATTGCATGCAGGAGGTTTAGTGGGGAGGGCACATAGGAACGATGTAGGCAAGAGAGGGAAGGATGATGACACAGAGGGAGAAATTGACCCAGTATATGATTTCAACAGAGGCTTTATCTGATTCCCCTTTGGAAGCACTGGAGCCAGGATGACCCTTCAGACATGCCTAATTGAGGTGACCTCAGGCTTTTATACTCACTCATTGATCAGCCATTAGAGGCAGTGTCCTCTCAAGGGGGACAATATCCTTGAGTTTGGCAGCTTCTTTTCATCAGAGCAATGCTTTGAGAGGAACTCAGCTGTGAGCCATCAGCAATCAATACTTCCAGAGTGGGAAAATGAGGGTCTCAGATCTGAAGGGAACATCTGGTTGACACAGGCACTAAAATGAGCAAACATGAACATTATTTTCTTGTCTTGCTGATAATTCCACCTTCTAAAGGATAGGTTTTTGATGCTAATTCTGTCTGTCTTAGTCCATTCAGGCAGCTATACCCAAATACCTTAGGCTGGGTAATTCATAAACAATAGAAATGTATTGCTCACAGTTCTGGAGACTGGGAAGTCCAAAATCAAGTCACCTAGTAAGGGCCTATTCCTCATATGGCACCTTCTTGCTATGACCTCACATGGTGGAAGGGGCAAGGGCACTCCCTTCAACCTCTTTTATGAGGGCAGTAATCTCATTCATGAGGGTGGAGCCCTCATGATTTAATCGCTTCCTCAAAATCCCCCATTTCTTAATACCATCACATTGAGTATTAGGTTCCAACATACGAATTTTGAAGGGACAACAACATTCAGACCATAGCTTTGTCCAACAAGGAGTACTTGGTAGGTGAAATAAAGAGCCTTAAGAGAAGGTAGTTATTACTTATTTTAATATGCCACCCAAGGCTAAGCCGGCTGGGTGATATTCTTTGGATACAGCGATTCTTTCAGAAGAGCTCAGGAATTTTTTTTGGTGATTAGTAGAAGAGACGCTTGCTAGACACTAGAAGGAAAGTATACAGTCCCAGCTGCTGGTTGCATCATCAGGACAAAGCCAGCATACAGAGGATGGAAAAACTGAGAGAACTGTGAAGAAATGAGAATGGTCATAGCATGCTGGAGCTCGCCTGCATCAGGCGAGGGGTGACTGCGCACATCTCTTCCCAATTCTATCTTCAGTGACTTTGCTTTGGTAGCTTGAAATAGGTCATGGTGGGAGTATTTACACCATGGAAATAGACAAACTCATGGCTCTTTTTTTCTCTGGAAAGTCAGGTAGTTGTGACATACTTCCTAGCACACTACCGACGAAGCCCTAATCAAACAATGCCTGAAGCCTGTCTACTTCTGGACTTTTCAGGTACGTGAGTCAATAAATTCTCCTTATTGTCCAAATTGAATTTTAATTGCTGCATATTATAATTTATGTTTGCATATCTGTTTTCTCCAATAAGTTATAAGCTTCCTGAAAGTCAGAGAACATATTTATCTTTGAATTTCTGGTGTCAGTAAACATAGCCAGTACCCAACATATACTGAATAAATGAAGCATAAGGGTCTTTGAACTGAAAAGAGCAAACATTAATAAGATGGAAATGGATAGTCAAGATGGGTGAAAGTATAGATGTTTAAACCAGTCCAGTTATTCTGGCATGAATGAGAAAAAGGAAGCAGCTCTCTCTCTCTCTCTCTCTCTCTCTCTCTCACACACACACACACACACACACACATACACACACACACCCTATCTCTTTCTGAAGACACAGTGCACAGTGAATGTGGACTTCAGTGTCAAACAGCCTTGACTTCCATTCTTGGCACAGCTACTTATTGGCTATAGTCCTAGACAAGTTCCCTAACATCCTGAAGCCTCAGTTTCCTAATCTGTAAAGTAGGCAAAATGATGCCTTCCTCAGAATGAAAGAGAAAGATGAGTAGAAAACATTTAATCCAGGACCTGATACAGAGCAGAGACCGCAGCCAGTTTTTGCTGTTGTTCTTGTAGCAGATGTTGCTTTATCATTACAATTACTGTTGTTGCAGCTCCCTTCCTTTCATTGCCTTTGTTCTGGTTCATAAATTTATTTTATCTAACCTCTCACTGAAATCTAGCTTTTTGCTTCTATTAAGAATATAGGGAAGAAACTGCAGTGGTATTAGCAGTGCCTATGACTCTTGCCACAGAAATGACAGATCTTTTCATATCACCTGGTAGTTGTTGTAAACAATGGAAACACAGTTTCTCCCATCACTCTTTGAAATGATGGGGTTGTTATTTGACCCTTCACCAGATCCTATTATTTAAAGCACTGATAAAGGAGTAAAAATATTACTATATTTGTAATAGTTAAAATATTTGATATTGTAACTGATTTCCTTTGTAGCTTTATGTATTTCATTTTATGCCTAATAACATTATTCTGAGAAGGGAATCTGTGGCTTTACCAGCCTACCAAAGGGAGCCTGGCACATAAAAGATTGAGAGCCCCTGCCCTGGGACCATGTTGCTTCAGGCTGGCTGGTCAGCTAAGTTAGTTCAAGAGCAAGGAAAGTCATAGGAGCCCACTTGTAGGGTCAGTTCAATTTATATAACTTTATTCTGTTCCTCAGCCACAGAGGCTGGCCGGTGTGTGTCCAAGACCTGGAAGAGGCTGTGTAAGACCAACCTCTATAAGCCCATCTGTTTGGCAGGAAACAGTATGCCCCGTGGATGGTGGATTAGCCTTGGTGCTGCATTATGGGAGGGGTGGGGTCATTTGGACATAGAACTTGATGGCTTCAAAACACAATAAATGTAGATATCAGTCACTTGTAACTGGTGGAGAAGCCTGTAATCTCTCAGTAGTTCCTCATTCTGACAGCCTCTCTCTCTCAGTCTGGGCCTCTTGGTCTATGTGTAGTAAGGCTCCCACTTCCTGTTCCTTTCTCTCTCTATCCCCACCCATCTTGCTCACTCTGTCTCTCCCTTCGCATTCTCTCTAATTTATTCCCCCCCTTTTCTCTGAGGAGGAAGCAGTAGAAAATCCGGAATGTAGTCATTGGGTATCTGGTGGACATTCTTCTCTGTGCTTGGCCTTGAGTTCTTGGCAGGGATACTCGCTGTCCCTGGTTCTGCTCTCACTTTCCTTTCTGTCATCACACACACACACACACACACACACACACACACACACACACATACACACACACACACACACAGTATCCCTCTCTCTCTCTCTCCATCTCTTTCTCTCCCTGACACACACTCACACTTCAGAACGATTATATTTATAATACCCTGGGCAGTTCCAAATGTCAGTATGAATTTTAAGAGCACATTTGTGTCTCTTGCTTGGAACAGACTGAATTTTCCACTGTCTGAGAGTTTGAAGTTCTTCCAGCTAAGAGAGCAGTGAGAGCCTCTGGGGGACTAGCCATGTGTCAGAGCTCTGTCAACTTTCTGCTCCAAGGGTCGCACTCACTCAACATTTGTTGAAGGACCTATGGCCACATTTGGCCCAAGCCACTCATGTTGTGCTTTTCAAGTAAAACCCGGTAAGGGGAAGGGCATCTGGAGTGGAGATAACTGGTGTCAAGTAAGAATGGGTCCTATAGGCCTGACATGTAAAAGCCATCAGAAATTGACCTGTTTTCTGGGCCTAGAGGAAAAGAAACCAGTAGATCTGGGATATACCCAAAGGAATAGAAATCATTCTACCATAAAGACACATGCATGCAAATGTTTGTTGCAGCACTATTCACAACCAGTAAAGACGTGGAGCCAACCTAAATGCCCATCAGTGACTGATTGGATAAAGAAAATGTGGTACATATACACCATGGAATACTATGCAGCCATAAAAAAGAATGAGATCATGTCTTTGGCAGGAACATGGATGGAGCTGCTGGCCGTTATCCTTAGAAAACTAATGCAGGAACAGAAAACCAAATACCACCTGTTCTCACTTCTAAGTGGGAGCTAAATGGTGAGAACACGTGGACACAAAGCGGAGAACAACAGATACTGGGGCCTGTTGGAGGCTGGAGGGTGGGAGGAGGGAGAGGATCAGAAAAAAAAAAAAAACTATTGGGTACTAGGCTTGGTACCTGAGTGATGAAATATGTGTAAACAAACCCCCATTTACTATATAACAAATCTGCCCACATACCCCTCAACCTAAAATAAAAGTAAAAAAGAAAGAAAAAATGGCCGGGCACGGTGGCTCATGCCTGTAATCCTAGCACTTTGGGAGGCCAAGGCAGGTGGATTACCTGAGGTTGCGAGTTCAAGACCAGCCTGACCAATATGGAGAAACCCCGTCTCTACTAAAAATACAAAATTAGTTGGGCATGGTGGCGCATACCTGTAATCCCAGGAACTTGGGAGGCTGAGGCAGGAGAATCGCTTGAATCCGGGAGGCGGAGGTTGCAGTGAGCCAAGATCACGCCACTGCACTCCAGCCTGGGCAATGAGAACAAGACTCTATCTCAAAAAAAAAAAAAAAAGAAAAGAAAAGAAAACCAGTAGATCCCTGAAAGGATAAATTATAACTCTCATTCAACATCTAGGAATTAATCTGAATTCACTTTCAATTGGGAGTGGCAGCTGAAAGCTGACTTTAGGCACAGAAAGACTTGGACAGTTTCTCTCCTCTTCCTTATATTTAGCTGTTGCATGAAATACCCTTAAAAGAATTCAGTAACAGCCATTCCACAATTAGAAGTATGGCTTGAAATTCTTATTCCTGTGAGAGTTGACACACTGGCTTTAATTCATACTAAAGTGCAAATGACTAACCTAAGATTCTTTCTTGCAAACAGTTTTATTAAATATGAAGAAGAGAGGACAGAGAAAGAGAGGCTTATATTTGAGAGGAAATTGGGTAGAGGGACAAAGAAATGAGATGCTGGAGATTTTATAACTTTATAGTAGTGTCAGAGTTGGCCCCAGTTAGCTTTCTGGAGTTAATTGCTCAGTTTAATTATGGATTTCTCCCCACACATTTCCAGCACTCAGTTTTGATTAGATCTTATATTGCTTGGTTTCCTTAGCCTCTCGTCAAAGAACCTCTTTAGTGGGTAAAATGGGGGAATGTGGCAGGAGAGAGGGGGTGCCCTACAGTGGATCAGAACCGTTTCTTAGAGGATGTTTCATCACCTTCTGTGTAATTTCCAACCAAAGTTAAAATGTTCTTCCCTTCTACTTCACAGTAAACTAATCTTGGGAGAATTCTTTCTGGCTGAGTGCTTCCCAAGCCACCATTCTTTAAGTGGAATTTATTTGAATAATTTAACATTGATTTCTAGTCTGGGTACTGTTTAGTTCCTTTTTGGGTCACTGAGCAAAAGGACTTAATATGTTGCATGTTCCACATAAAAATATCACCCGATTTTAGCTGTTCAGTGAGCTCCTAGGACAAAGGAGGTTACTGGCAATGGAAAAGTATCACTTCCAACACAGGATATGCTGTGAGCATTGGTGAAATGTAACATATTCAGTAGTGTTCTCATGAACCTGTCAGCATAGTCTGCGTAAACTTTGCAATGACATTCACCTTCTGCTCAGCTCAACTTTATGGCTTCCTGAGCAAGGAGGTAAAGAACATGGAAGAGAAGTGGACGCGTCACAGGGGCACCTTCTGCCTTGTGGGACTCCCCCTTCTGGCGTCTGGAAGGGATGATGGTGGTTGAATTCAAGGTCACTGCCCCTACGCAGAGAGAAGGAAGGGAAGTGTTTTCTTCAGGTTCTTCTCCTTTTGATAGGAGAGTGAGGCTCCTCCTGCTCCAGATTCTATAGGGAATAACATAGAGAAATTATGCTTTATCACTGGCAAAAAATTCATCGTTTGTAATTTGGGAATAATACATTGTATACAGAGTTTAGCGATAAGCTATTAAAAGTACTTAACTCGATAGCTGGCACTAGTAGTCACTCAATTACTGTTTGTTTCTTTCTGGCTGTCACCAGTTACAGTTTTGCATTTTTACCTTTAGGTCTTTGATCCGTTTTGAGGTAATTTTTGTGAAAGAGATGTAAGGTCTTGGTTTAGATTCTAGTTTATTTTTTTCCTGCATGCAGATGTCCAGTTGTTCCAGCACCATTTATTGAAAAGACTGTCCTTTCTCCACTGGATTGCCTTTGCTCCTTTGTCAAAACTCAGTTGACTATATTTGGGTGGGTGTTTTTCTGGGCTCTCTATTCTGTTCATTTGGTCCATTTGTCTATTCTTTCGCCCATGTCACATTGTTTTGATCACTGGAAAGCTTTTCAAAACCATAAAGCCTTATACCCATATGAAGCAGTATTAGAAGAGGGAGTGACCAGCTGAGGGCCAATGGCATTTCCTCAGCTCTTATCCTCTCCCTGCTCTGTGTGAGTTAGAAGATGGAACTCCTCATCTGTGAAGAGGGAAAGCCAATACTCCAGGGCCAACGGTTTACTGAGGGCATAATGGACTTGGTCTCTTCCTTCTGCTGAGTTCGAGGACAGGGCTTGTTCAAAACTGGTTCATCTCTGCTTTCTCTGACTTCAAGGACCTCCTAACACTTTGCTACTGGCAACTCAAGCATTATATATTCTGTTATTTTAAAATATTGTATTATTTTCTTGCTTGTTTTAGACAGTAACATTGTTTCCTTTTGCTGCTCAGTCTGGGCATGGCTCATGATTGCCCATTATAGCTTCAGCTGACATAGATCCTGTATTTTAGCAAGTAGTTCTCAAAGTGTGGCCCCTGACCTGCAATATCAGATCCTCTGGGACATGCAATGTTAGAAATGCAAATTTTCAGGTCCTACCCCAGACTGAATGAATCCAACCTCTAGAATAAGGCCAAGTAAATCAGCGTTTTAATTTTAAAAAAATGATACATGCTCAAGTTTGGGAACCACAAACTTTGAGTTTACAAAGAGTTTTTCATTCATTTAGTAGCAGCATTCTCACGCACATTGTCTCTGATAGATGGCACGATGACCCACTTCCACTTGGTTATTCTTTTCCCTCTGCCTTTTAGGGCTTGCCATAGGACGCCCTGCTGAAGCTGGCACGCTCATGGGAGCTATCCTTAAATGCCACTCAGAACACTCTCACAGCCTACAGCCTGCAGAAGAAGAGTGTCACCTGGTCCAGTTGCTGAGTGACCGCTGATCAACAGCTGACTTCACCTTGCATCCTGACTCCTGGGAGCTCTTCCTCTCCCATCTCTCTTCCCCTCTTTCTCTGTAGGCACAGCCATCAGGATCAGCTGAACCACTGGGGATGGCTGTCTTTGGAGAGGAGCTATGTGGCCTTGAGAAGAGTTGGGTAGATGGACGGCCTCTCCTTGGAAATCCGCTCTCTGAAAGGACAAAGCCTAGGAGACTGCTCCTCAGGGTGCAGAGCACAGGCTTGCCTGTTTATTAGGGTGTGGACTTGGAGTCAGGACAGGAGTTTTATGAACAGGAGAAGGAATTTTGTTGAGTTTGTGGCCTTGTGCTGATTCTTTTTGGGATGTTGAGTAGCACGAATAGAGAAATCTTTGATGAGAAGAAAAAAACAGTTTTAGTGAAGTAAATAAATGTAGCTTCATTTTCATTCGTAAATATATTTCTTCTATTTGTTGTTACTCCACTTGTAAGATGCACACACATAACCACAGATTCAGAGATTTTTGTCTATCCATTGATGGCGATCTGTGTTACTTTCTGTCAAGGAGGCATAGTAACTTGGTGTCAGTATGGTGGGGCTCTGGCTGCCACAGACAGTATAGGTAGTGGCCTTCTGTTAGCTGAAAATTAATTACTAAATTGGCAGCATGTGCCCCTCATTCTGTGATACACACACACACACACATACACACAGAGAGAGACACACACACAGTACCCCTTATGTTTGCTTAACTTCCAAGAGTCTTTTGGACATATAAAATTTGCCTGAGTCAAAAGTTTAAAATATGCATTGGTTCTGTGCCTATTAAAAGCAAAGTTTAAAATAAAGCCCGAAATAATGGATGAAATCCATTCAGGCAGCTTGGTGGTTTAAAGCAAGACTGAACTTTCTACTTTTTGAAAAGTGTGTTTCCAGGAATAAAGCTGAGTGGGCAAAGCAAGACCTAATTTTCCCCACTGAATAGGAAATAAAATGACACATATTGAATGCTGTCTCAAAGGTGCTTATACTGGTTGGGAAAAGATGGCCTTGAGACCCAGGCTATTCATGTTAAGATTGAAGATGAGGTGAAAATGCGAATTAAATAATGCCATGGCAAAGTTGGCTGAAAATGAGTAAGCAGGACTTTGTGAATGCTTCATATTCCTAATAAAGCATCTCTTCCTTACTCAAACATCTTTTCCTCCCTCTTTTGACCTTCAGCAGGCTATAAAGAACAATGCCCTTCATTTGTGATTATCTAATCTCTAGAAACATGTCCTGCCCTCATATATTGCTGGTGGGAATGTAAAATGATGCAGCTGCTGGGGAAAGCAGTTTGGTGGGTTCTCAAAAAGGGAAACACAAAGTTATATGTGTTTATGACCCAGAATTTTCCACTCCTAGGTATATACTCGGGATAACTGAGACATATGTTCATACAAAAACTTGTGCACAAACATTTGTAGCAACATTATTTATAACAGGCAAAAAGTGGATACAGTCCAAATCTCTGTCACCTGAGGAATGGATAAATAAAATGTGATAGAGCTGTACCGTGAAATACTATTCAGTCATAAAAAGAATAAAGTACCGATAGTAAGAGTTGAAGAAGGAAGAGAGAAACATGAAAAGCGGCTTCACGGTAAAAGACAGGTTTATTTTGGGAAATAAACCTGAGAGGGGCTTCTGGCTGAGTTAGGTCAGGGGCACTCTCTCTTACAGACTAAGAGTATTTAAGGGTTTAGGGCAGGAGAGCTTATCACAAGCTCAGAATATTTCTGTTTCTTCGTCTTGCTTATTTGGGAGGGAGATTTTGTGTTTGTTTCCATACTTTTTTTTTTTTTTTGCAGCTGCAGGCATACCCATGTCTGCTTTTAGCTTCCCTATCTTAGTGCACCTAAAGGGAAAGGGATGTGCTTATTAGGGCCCACTGTTTTACTGGGGCCCATTGTATGAGTGTGAAGTTTGGCAGTTACCCAAGAGACTTTGCCCCTACCTTCTGCCCCTGACCTGTCTTATCTGTGTTTTACTGTCTGCTCTTTCTGGCTGCTTGTTGTTAGAAGAGAAGTGATTTCCTTGAAATGACTGAGATTAGAAAGGGAGCCAGAACTTGAAATGGCAATGTTTGTCCAAGATGATGGTGCTCCTGCTCTGTCACTGATACCTGCTACTACTTGGATGAACCTCGAAAACGTTGTGCTAAGTGAAAGAAGCCAGAATCAATGGGCCACATTTCGTTCGATTCCATGTATATGAAATGTGCAGAATAGGCAAATTATAGCCCCCCAAAATTCATATGTTGACATCCCAACCCTTAGTACCTCAGAATGTGACTGTCTTTGAATATGGGGCCTTTAAGGAGGTAATTAAGGCAAAAAAGAGGTCCTCTGGGTGGGCCCTCACCCAGTAAGACTGGTGTCCTTCTAAGAAGAGAGAGATTAGGACACAGTTACACACAGAGGAAAGGCCATGTGAAGACAGAGGGAGAAGACAGCCTTTTGCAGGTCAAGGTGATCAGGATAAACAGCCCATAATAGGTCTGGTAAGGTCTGAACAGGGGTCAGATTGTATAGTGTGTTATCAGCTAGGGTAAGGAGTTTTACTGTAATTCAGAGCCACTGGAAGGTCTTAAGCAGGGTTCTACAGATCTGATTAATATCTGGGAGTTAGGGTTTCCCTGGAGATTCTAACAAGGACTAAAGCATCCCTGACCTTAGACCCAGAGGTAATCTCTATCAACCTGGGTCCTGAATTAAACTTTCTTCATCCTGTTGATTGTCCTTGGTTTTCAGCAGAGTTTGCACAAAGAGAAATCAACACATCCAGGATAGCATGCCTCAGTACTCCAAACAGATTCTGAGAAGCATAAGGGTCAACCATAAATGTACATTTTTGCAAACCCTGTAATCTATTTATGCTACAAAAAAATCTCCTAAACAGAGGAACTGAATCAACTGCAAATAGCTATTGTTGATTTTCTACGAGGACATTGGCAATCATGATGGCTCTGTGAGCCACAGGATTGTTGTAAAGAGAGATTTCTGGATGGTGATTTTCTGTACTAATCAGTGGATTTTTGTTTTCTCATCAGGGCCAAGATATCCAACCATAAACAAAGGAGAAATTTTGACTTGAGAAATATCTACTTTGTTAATAAGCAAAACTGAAAATGGAAAAAAGTAATTTTGTTTTGTAAACACAGGCTTACTGTTCATTGAGTGCAAAGTATAACTCTTGCAAAATGTTAGGGGTACTTGGACCCCATGGTGCTAGAGTTTAAAATGGTTTTGGAGGAATTGAAACATCAGTTCTGTTTATTGCACAAATGTAGCAAACATGAAAGCCAAATCGTACAAATTATTTTAAACAACTGAATGCCACTTACCAGCTGTGAGCTACCTGCTTCAACAAAACTCTTTCAAGCCTAAATAAAGGGAAAAAATTTCTCTCTTCTCTCCATGTATTTAAAGATAGCATCCGAATTAACATCTGAGTCATAAATAGTCCATGAAACAGATGACTCCTCATCCTATGACTAGATGTTTTTTTTTACCAGATAAAATTCTAAGTGAATCTCTTTTCTCTTTTGCACTTTTAAAAGCTATTTCCCTTCTCTGGTTTGGTCTTCTGGTTAATGTGCTGAGGCAGGCTCTTGGCAGCCAGATGGAGTATCATCTATATTTAGGGCTTCCATTAGCTTTTGTGTGTGAATCTGCTGCCATTTCCTAATTTCAACACAAATATTCTATGAGAGTGGATTGCCATTTATGTTATTGCTGTATAATAAAGTCATCATGCTAATATGCCTTATTTTTCCTGGTGATCCTTTTTGCTAATCAAGCACATTCCCTTTTTATTGGTCACATACCGATACATGAGAAGTTGTTACCTTGATAACATTTACCAGCATTCAGGTTGGTCAGTCTTGGTTCTGGCTTTTCTCGCTGTCCCTTCCAGGCTGGTTTGGATACCATTTAATGTTTTCTTTTTGGTTCATGGGAGTTCAGCAACCCAGTAACCTTGAGAAAAGAGAAATGAGAAATGGAACCAGTTCATCTTAGGCTAAAAGATTCATTTTGACAGAGTAATTTTTTTTCCTTAGGATAAGAAATTACTGTGTCATTCCAATTGCATAGATACTACTGTGCCAAAGTGCTGCAGCGAGTTTCATGATGAACTTTTCTAAGAAAATTAATTGGATGTTAATGAAAGTTTGGGGGTGGTAGAATTCAAGGGAGAAGTACTCTGTTTTTTATCACCACTTCCCAAAATTATGTAGTCAAAGGCTCTTATGATGATTATAAAAATAGCAACCCCAACTTGCTTGTGCTAGACAGAATATAAAGCAGTTTCACAACATTTCTGCTTTGAATTAGAGTAATCCTCTTGGTATCTGAAGACCTCCTCTGAGCCCAGCGTATGCTGGCTTTGCCACCAGAATCTTAGGAGTGAGGCCTTTGGCTAGGTTTGGGGGTTCTAATAAATTTAGCATATGGGCCAGTTGCAGTGGCTTACACCTATAATCCCAGCACTTTAGGAGGCCAAGGTGGGCAGATTACTTGAGGTCAGGAGTTCGAGACCAGCCTGGGCAACATGGTGAAACCCCATTTCCACTAAAAATACAAAAATTAGCCGGGCGTGGTGGTGCATGCCTGTAATCCCAGTTACTCAGGAGGCTGAGTCAGGAGAATCGCTTGAACCTGGGAGGCTTGCAGTGAGCTGAGATTGTGCTACTGCACTCCAGCCTGGGTGACAGAGCAAGACTCTGTCTCAAAAAATAAAAATAAAAAATAATAATAAATTTAAAAAAGCATAGCATATGGAACACTCTTCTAAAATCAGTGTCTGTAACAGAAAAAAAGAAAGAAAGAAAAATTTGAAGTTGCAAGTACTCAGACGGGTTTGTGGACACTGGAAAGGAGATGAGGAACCTACACATCACCTTATTTCCAGGAGAAGGTGGGTGGCGGATTCATGCTTGTTCTCAATCATAGTGGTTGTTTGGACTCAGTAGGAGTATTTACTGTGAAGTCTGTCATATGAAGGAAAAACTCAGGGGTGCAACACAGTGGCCAGAAAAATTGATGGTGTCATTTCCAGTCACCAAGTGGGACACCTCACGCTTGTGGGTCAGCACAGATCAGACACGGGTGTCCGGAGTTAGCTCTTTTACACATGTGCTGAGACAGGCTTCTTGCTCCTGTCACACGACTCCCAACTGGAGAGGATGATGAGGGGAGAGCCCAAGCTACACCAATAACTCTTGGTGCCAGTTTCATCTTTGTCTCCCCATCACAGCTGTACCGGGACCACTGCTGGCTGCCTTCTTGCTTCTCTAACTGCTTTTCTCTGGTTTCCTCCTTGGCTTCTCTTTCTGAAATTGTCACTTAAATGTTGACATAACCAGCCTGTGCCCTTTGGTACTTATCTATTCTCACTTTACCTACACTCGCTGGACAATCGCCTCCATTCCCATGGCTCCAATTACCATCTCTACTGCTGGCAGCTCTCAAGTGAAATCTACATCTCCAGCCCAGAACTTGTTCTGTGGTTCCCTAGATGTCTCAAACTCAGTGTGTTCGAACCTAACTCATGATGCTCCCACCCCCACAAACTATGCCTGCTTCTGAGATCTTGTCTATGTAATAGTGGCCAAGATTTACTGTGCTTGTGATATTCCAGGCTCCGTTCCAAGCATTTGACATACTTTACCTCATTTAACCTTTTCCAGAGCCCTGTACAGAAGATACAATTATTATCCCTTTCTTACACTCTGAGGCACCCAGTGAATCGGCGCCTTGCCCCAGGTTCAGCAGCTAGCTGTGGACACAGTCAGACTTTGAACGCAGACTGTGGAAACCGTAGCCCATGCTTCTAATCACTCGGCTGGACTGCTTGCTGTTGTACCTTTACCCAAGTCAGAAACTGGAGCATCATTTTTGATGTCATCTTCTCCCCTGGCTCCCACATCCCATCCAATGCTAATCCAGTTCCTTTTACCTCCTGAATAACTGAGCCTTCCTTCCTTTCTTTCTTTCTTTCTTTCTTTCTTTCTTTCTTTTTTTTTTTTTTTTCTTTCTTTTTTTTTTTTTTTTTTTTTTTCTTTTTTCTTTCTTTCTTTTTCTTTCTTTCTTTCTTTCTTTCTTTCTTTCTTTCTTTCTTTCTCCTTTCTTCCTTTCTTCTTTTTCTTTTTTTTTTTTTTTCCTTTCTTTTTTTTTGCTCCCGGGTCACTACTCTAGTCCAGGCTATTATCTCTTGCCTGGGCACTCACAATGGCTTCCTAACAGCTCTTCCTGCTGTTCTCTCTTCTTTCCTTTCCACCTCATCTGTTTTCCATACTGCAGCCAAAGAAATCTCTCTAAAACATAAATTCAAATGTGTCACTTCAGTAAAATGCTGCAATGGTTCCCCATTGTCCTCAGGGCAAAGTCTGGACTCCAATATGCCTGAAAAGGTATGCTCTGGGCTCTTTTCTCTCCAGCCTCATCCTTCTCCCTGACTTCATCCTCTCCCCTTGCCCTGTCAGCATGCCCCAGTCTTCCTGCGCTTCTTTCCTTTCCTGGCTCCTGGAAGGCCCCCTTCTCTCTCTCACCTCTTGGCCACTTAGTTGTCTGATCCCTTTGCCTCTGATACAGTTTGGATGCTTGTCTCCTTCAAATCACATGTTGAAGTTTGATCCCCAGTGTTGAAGGTGGAGCCTCGTGGTGGGTGTCTGGTCATGAGGGCAGATGGCTCATGAATGGCATGGTGCTGTTCTTGTGGTAATCAGTGAGTTCTTACTCTTAGATCCTACAAGATCTGGCTGTTAAAAAAAAGTCTGGCTCCTCCTTCTCCTCTGCTTGCTCCCTTCCTCTCTCACCAGGTGATCGCTGCACACACCAGCTCCCCTTCACGTTCCACCATGAGTGGAAGCAGCCTGAAGACCTCACCAGAAACAGATGCTGGCGCCATGCTTCTTGTACAGTCTGCAGAACCATGAGCCAAAGAAATCTCTTTTCTTTGTAAATCACCCAGCCTCAGGTCTTTCTTTACAGCAACACAAAGGGACTAAGACAGCCCGAATGTCCTTCCGTCTTCTCTGCACCTGCTTGACTCCTATTCATTCTCAAAGGCTTTGGGGATCTCCTCTCCGGGGTCTAGAAAGGGACTTTGGTGAATTGACTGTGTGTTCCAGTATAGCTGCCACTCTGTGTGCCATGGTTTGTCCCAAGCACTTTAAATATATTAACTCATTTAATTTTGCAAAAACCGTATGAGGTAGACACAATTATTATTTCCACTTAGCAGATAAGACTGTTGAAGCACAGTGCATCTGCCACTCTAGTAGTTCACCAGAGGAAGTTTGACACAGGGCTCTGACTACAAGGCTGTTGCAAGAACACAAAAAACAAATGGAGGTTGCAAGACAATCCAAAGATGAGAAACAGTAGGAAGCTGCTGCTCCAGGTTGGAGGGACAGAAGGAAGTGGGGATGTCACCAGAGGTGAGGCACTGGGACTGCCCAGCGGGAACTGGAGCTCTAGAGGAGGCGCAACCACTATCAGAGCAGCCACCCCAAACTGAGAGGGGCTTAAGTACCCTGACGTTCCCTCCTCCTACTGCTAAGCTCCACCACTGCTTCCCATTGGCTAAGTTAACCAGCCACTCATTGGCAGGAGCCTGGGAAAATGTAGTCTGCAGAGGTCGCGGTAAAGATGGGGAACAAAGTGAGAGAAACAGGTAGAAGATAGGCTCAGAGAAGTTCATTACTTTTTCCAAGCTCTGACAACTTCTAAGTTGCAAGGTCTAAGTAGTTTGGCCCCAGAGTGTGTCCCCTTAACCACTGATGTACACTGCCGTTCTGAGAACCTGGGGCCAGGCACTGAGTCACTGAGTCTCAGACGTGTAAAATGGAAATAATAGTGATATCCTCTATATGGGGCTATGATAAAGGGAAAATAAGTTGACACACTTCAAATATTTTGAATACTGCCTGGAATATCATAAGCACAGTAAATTTTGGTCATTCTTGCAGAGATAAGGATCCCAAGGGAAGGCAGTGGTCTGGACGTGGGAACTCTGCCCAGCACTGTTCTAGACTCTTTCTCTAGAAGGTAGTTGCTATCTCCATTTTACAGATAATAAAACCAAAGCCTCAAGAGTTTGACTTACATAGCAAAAGTGGGAGTAGGACTCAAGAATTTGATTCCAGAGTCAACGTGTATATGCCATATTAAAATTCCTGTGTGATGGACTCTCTTCCAGCTAAGCTATGGTTTCTATGGGGGCACACCTGTGCCTTTTTTGCCTTTGATTCCCTAGCACAGGCTCAGCACCTGGTGCCTTGGAAGGCACTCAGTATATATTTGCTTCGTGAATTATTAAATGGCCTGGTGATTTGCTGGTGCCGTGGAAGTGGAAGTTGTACAGACGTGTTTCTGGACTTCTTGGTGAGCAGTGAGGTGCTGGAGGCCCAGCCTCTCTTCAGAAACTCATTCCAGGCCATCTCCATAGTGCATGCCCGAGTGTTCCAGCTCTGCCATTTCATCCATCTCTGTGATGGCTTCCCCTGGACCTCCGCTTTGTGGAGGCCATCTATTTTGTACGTCCTCGAGTGCTCAGTGGTGACCAAGGCAAGAGGATAAGAGTCAGAGTGAGGAAAATTGCATTGGGGATTGGAAGAGAAAATGAAATGGAGTAAAAGGTCACCATTACACCATTAAGGAGTTCTCAAGAGTGCTTCATAATCATAATATAATCTGCAAATGCACATCTGGAGGTAATTATATCTACCTAGGACAAATTACTTATACTTTTATCTTAGCAA